GATGTTTCGCGTCGGACCCGTTGTTTCTGAACTCCTGGCGGGCTTGCATGCTTTGGGGAGTTTTTTCTGTTCGGCAGACGTTCCATCTCCTGGTGCCGCCTGGGTTTCGGTGGTCGCGCCCGAGATCTTCCCGCGGCTCCGCCTTTTCCTGGGCTCGGAGGGGCCTTGTCGGGGCTGCTTATGTTCTGCCTCGCGGTCTCGCCTCCGGTTGGTGGTTGGGTGGCTTCGTGGTAGGTGTCCCACCTGCGTGCTTCTCTTGGCGGCAGTATGGGGTATTTTGGCGGTCCTTCCTTTTCCTGTCCCTTCTTAGGTGGTTACTCTTGTTAGCATGGTTTACTCTCGGCTTGGTTTTCTAGTGGGGGTTGGGGGCCGTCGTCTTGCCACATACTGTCGCCTCTTTTCGTGCGGCGCGGGCGGAGCCGTTTCAGTTTGCTTTCGGTCTTGGTGTTGCTTCTGCACCGTTAGTCAGCTGTCTTGTGCGTCATTTCACCTCCAGCCTGTTCGTGCGCCGCTTGCACCATCCTGGTCTCTGGTCAGCGTGCTCTGTCTTCTCCTCGGTTGGTTGTGCCCCTTCGGTTCCGGTGTGTTTTTTCGTCGGCTCTTTCCTTTGAGCCTTTGCCTCTGGGGGTCGAGTCGCTGAGTTTTCTTGCTCCTTCGGTTGTGGCGTTTTGGTTGTTTGGTGGCAGCAGTCTCCATCTTTTCTGGCGCGGGGTGGGGCTGCTGCATTCTGGAGGGGTCCAGGGTTTGATGGTGCTTCGTTGGTCGGGCCGGGGGTGTGTCGTTTTTGTGTTCAGTGGCGGCCCTCCGCTGTTGTTTGTGTGCCACGGCGTTTGGGTCCGGAGCGCGTTTTGTGTTGATCTGGTTCTGTTCTTCCCGGTGCGCGGGTGATAGTATCCCGGATGGTCAGCCGTGTTCTTGCGGCTAAGCTGCCTGTGTTCTTCCCTCATGCCTGTGGCGTTAGTGGCTTCTCTGCTCTCGCTGCCGTCTGGGCGACGTGGCCCTGCGGTCTTTCGGGCATGGATTTTTGGTGTTCGTGCAGGGGCCTTGCTGCTCGTGGTTCTCGTGTTGTTCCCGGGATTTTTCGGGGCTGTGGCGCCTTGGGTTGGCGTTTGCTGCCGGTTGTCTCGCCTCCTTGGGGGGTGCGTGGTGTCCGCCTCCCGGTTCTGTCCCTTTGACTTTCCTCTGTGGGTAGTTAGCTCCGGGGAGCCGACGGGGCTCCCCCCAGAAAACCAGCGTTGAATGTAATGAAACGCCATTTTCTGGGTGAGACCCGGAGGCTCCCCGTCAACCCTCCCTCCCTCTGGTCGGCGTTTTTCGCGTGTTTTGACATCCAGCCTCAGAACTGATGGGTGGATAGCCGGCGTGGGAGGTCTGGGGCTCCTCCTTCCCCCTCCCGGGGAGAGGGGAGCTGTGCAGACAGCGGCGCGGTGACGTATGACGTCATACTAGTTTCCTTGTTGTCTGTTGAAGAGTTCTATCCACTAGTTCGGCTTTAGGTAGCAATTTTCACCAGAATAGGGGTTTGGTTTGGAATGCTTACCTTTCTGGATGCTTGACCCGGTCGATGGCAGACATAGAATGCTTCCAACCACACGGGGGTTTCTATAGGCCATTGCTCCCCTTGCCTCTCTGAGGGGGCCAGGTTCTGGCCGTGGTCCCCGGTAGGCCCTAGAACTCCATACACATGACTGATGCCAAAGTCTGACATTAGCATATCAGCCGGTAAAGTTCCGGAGAGCCTCCGGGTCTCACCCAGAAAATGGCGTTTCATTACATTCAACGCTGGTTTTTTGTGCAAATACTTGTGACACTAATATGTGGATACAATATACATTGGCAACAGTTTTATGTTTATAAATCTTCTTGTGAGAACATATTGAAACACACCAGTGAAAAAAATGTGTGTAAAATACGCTATAGATACTGGAAATAATAACGCGAAAATAAATTCGCGGCAACTCGGGCTCCTCCGTCGCGCCTGACTCACCCCGGGCGCACAGCGGTCCAGCGAAGATCAGGCGTGACGTCATCGACGATCTTCTCGGGTCATTTATGTCCACGGTAAGTGTAATTAAATTTTTTTATTATTTTTCCCGTGCTCAGGGAACACAAATAGAGAGATTAAAAAGAAAAAAAAAATTTCTAGAATTTTTTTTTTGTTGCGCGTGTGGGTGTTAATTCCATTTGGACCCCAAGCGGTTTGAGGGTTAAAGAGGAGCTGGCATGCACAGAGCTCCTGAACTCGTGCAATGAGGTGGTAGAGATACTTGGAGTCAAGGTAGAAAATATGAATCTACTTATTATTTTTATATACAAACCACTTGATGCAACAGTTGAGGAATTCACTGAACAGATCCACAAAATAGAGAATATCCTTGATAACCTAGTAAACCCAGTACCAGATATCATCTTCCTTGGAGACTTCAATCTACCCAGTTTAAAATGGAGAATAGTAAACAATAACATTATAGCAGGAAGTTAACCTGGAAATAACCAACCACAGGTCAGAGAACTACTGAGATTCTGTGACAAATTCTCGCTTAGTCAGCAGATTACAGAACCAACTAGGAACGAAAACATGCTGGACCTGATATTCACGAACAATGAGGAACTAACCAGAGACATTACTGTCTCAGACACTACGTACTCGGACCACAAGCTCATTGAAGTGCCAACTAACATTAATAACTGTGATCACGCTAGCACTGTGATCTGATATATTTATATTTACATTATATATACACACTGTACAGTATCACACACTATATACACACACTCAATACTCCGCAAGTGTGTGATATGCTGCGAAACAGCCAACGGGGCAGAGTGGCACCTTGCACTCTACGCACCAGGTGCTGATGCATCTTCACTTCTGTGATCTGTGTGTAGTGTTCCTGCATACTATGCATGCATGTTTACCTTTCTCCCGTGATACTGTGCCTGGCATATACTCCAACATGTGTACCCCGAAGTTCTCAATCCCCCGCAGTCTGGAGCTGTGTGTGGCATTGTTGCTTGCACCCCGCGCGGTACGATGAAGCCCTCCCTGCCATACTTTACCAGCAGCTGTGACACAACGCTAGCACTGAAGGTACGTATAGGCGGTTTCCTGCCGGACTTCATTAGGTACATATTGAAGCAGTTGAGCACTGCAACATCCATGAGGTGGAAGAAGAACTTTTTCATAAACTTCACAGACCTGCGCACGCATTCCACACCACCAAGAATCATGTCACATTTATCGACGAGGCGCATGTTCACGTTTCAGTCTATGACACAATCTGGCTTATACATGGGGTTGCGTGTCTGAAAATGGACCTTCCCACTGTCCAACATGGCACCGGTGTGAATCTTCGTCAATATATTCACCTCGCGTCTGTCCTTCCACCGCACTGACAGCATATTGTCACACTTGCGCAGCTGGCACTCGCCCACGGATATACCTATACCGAACACTGGCATTTCCTTCCTGAGGACCTTCACAGTGCCACATACGCCGGTGTTGTGGGGCAAGGAGGTATCTGGTCAACAGGGGGCTGGTGTAATAGTTGTCGGTGAACAGTAACATGCCCCCTGTTCAGCAACGGTTCCATCAGGGTTTTTACGACACTGCTGGAGAACCCGTAGTCATCTTGAGCTGGTATGTCGATGTCTGTACCAAAATACAAGTTCATGTCCAGGACAATACCAGTCTCACAGTCGCATAGCACGAAAAACTTCAGTCCAAAACGGTGCCGCTTTGAAGGGATGTACTGCTTGAATGCCAGTCTGCCTTTGAACAGTACAAGCAACTCGTCGATAACGACATTCTGTCCAGGTACAAAATAATCTCTGAAGTTCCCTCTCAGGTCACTGAATACCTTGCGTACCTTCCACAGTCTGTCGGGTCTGTCCTCAATTGCGTTGTTCTCGAAATGCAGGCACCTGAGAATCAAGTGGAACCTATCCCGCGACATATACCGGTTGAAGACGGGTGATGGAACAAGGCTGTCTTTGTTCCAATAGTCCTGGACGACAGATTTCTCGGAGTGTTTCATCATCATGCATAGTGCCAGAAACACATACTGTACATCTCGTCGATTGTCGTATCTTACGTGAGGCGTGAGGCATGAGGCAGCTAATATGCCACCGTCTATGAGGGTGTGAGCATACATGTTTGTCTCGGTCACAAGATGCCTCATGAAGACATTGTCAAAATATGCCTGGAAATATTCCATGTCCGCCATATCATCACCGGTATACGGGAATAAAGATTTAACACCATCATCAAATTCATCAAACGTTGGTATTTGAGGGACAAATGTGGCGCAATCCTCCCACACAAGTACACCAGGGAGTTTGGTGTTGGTGCCAACACCACCACGAGCACCAAAACCACGGCTACGTCGTCTGCTGCTGGAGCTGCTTGTGGGTATGCTTGGAGCTGAGGTAGATTTTCGTACCATAGGCCTACCACGAACACCTGATGTTGAGGGCCCACTGTTGTCATGCTGCGAGACACGCTGTCACCTGCCTCGACGTGTTGCTGAGGCAGCAAAGCCTCGCCTGGTACCACCCCCGCTGCTAGTACTCGGGTTGTCCACACTTCTTGTATCGAAGCCAATGTTACTGAAGCCCGAGAAAGATTCATCACATGTACTGTCACTGAATAAACTAGCGTCTGGGGACATACATGATGGTGGTGAGGATAACGGTGTTGACTCAGGGTGGCGAGACAGGCCGGGCGAGGAACGTGTACCGTACACGCTCGCCACATCATCCACTTGTGTCTCTCCCTCACTCGTATCAGACCTCTGTGTCAGATCTTTCTCTGGATCATAGTCCAGGTCATCATCCACAGCACCGTCGTCGTACAAAATATCGCGAATCTCTTCCTCAGAGTCGTTTTCCATGACCGCGGGTCACCGTGGAGCGGGAGCTGGTTGACATCAGACATGGTTGCTGCTTGGGAACTGGGGCTCCCCACGGCCGCGGGGCATGCTAAAAAAAAACAATTCAAGATGGCGGACAATCACTGGGGTCCCCAGCCATCCATTCCATACCCGCATCACGGTGCGCCACTTTTAAATCGAACGTGAAAAATACAAATACCCGGAGGTGCGTAGCGCACCCCAAGCGTAGGCCTGCAGGCACGTTGCGCAGTTAAAGGGGTAAATATTCTAAAACTAAAAGATAGAAGAAAAAGAGGAGACATGATCACTACGTACAAAATAGTAACGGGAATTGATAAAATTGATAGGCAAAAATTTCTGAGACCTGGAACTTCAAGAACAAGAGGTCATAGATTTAAACTAAACAAAGGTGCCGAAGAAAATTAAATTTTTTAGAAGTGAATAAGAAAATTCACTTTCGCAAACAAGTGGGGTAGACGGTTGAAACAAGTTAGGTGAGAAGGTGGTGGAGGCCAAAAGCGTCAGTAATTTCCAAGCGTTATATGACAGAGTGCTTGGAAAACGGGACATCATGAGCATAGCTCTCATCCTGTAACTACACTTAGGTAATTATATAATTTATAGGTTGTGTGGGGTCTATGTTCTCCTATTCCACATTCCATAACATGGCATTTGTTCACCCTAAATTCCATTTGCCAAGTGGTGCTCATACACTTATTTTGTTCAGGTCTTTTTGAAGGGCAGGACAATCATGAATTTATGATCTCTGCCAGTACAATAGTCAGTTCTGTACATGCAGAGCTCAGTGACTTAGAAAGGAAAATTATTATTATTAATAATTATATATCCTCCCCAAAGCAATGGAATAGTATAGGAAACACTTATTTATGACATTCACTGGTTGAAAATATATATAGAAACAGCAGTGTTAAATGATGAAAACAGTCTGGAACTCTGTAAGACATACAAATGACCAATTTTGGGATATGAGTTTTGTATGAAAGATTATTGGAACCAAGCGAGTGCACACAGAGTGGAGAGCAGCAGCAAGTTGTCCATTCAGGCGGCGACTACTCCAGTGTCCAGTAGACGTCAGTGCGACACTTGGATGGTCTTCTACAGTAACAATAAGTGCATTAACTGTACTAGTGCTTTTTTTCTTTGTTAGTTTAGGGATAGGAATTTTAGGAATGTGTGTTTGTAGAACCCTGTGTGTCTTGTGTTATTTTGGGCTCATTCTCCCACTTTAAGGAGTTCTGTAACACGTGGTTTAAACTCCATCAACCTTGGTCCCCGTTAGTAAAGTGATTAAGTGTAGAGACCTTATATTGTAAAAATCCATGCTACATTTGTATATTACCAAGAGAGTGTACAATAAAATAATGACTAAGCCCAGATTTGTGTGGGACCAATAGTCAATTCATCCATTATGTTTATGTTTGGTGAAGAGTATCACTCAATCTCAACAATCCAGTAACGTAATCGTGTGTTCCCATAGTTAATAAGTGTAGAATAATCCGGAGTTGTTCAATAAAGCCCATTTGTTGTAAAGATTTAACCCCAGTGCACTTATTGTCCAACTTAGACTAAGAATACTTGACCCTTCCCCAATTATCATATATGATACATACGTTTCCTTCCATTATTCATAAGAAAGTAAGGACAGGTATTGTTAGTCTGTACTCTCAGGTACGTCTTACAGGCAGCCCTGCTGCTGCAATATGTTACCCAAAAATATTATCCCATACTCCGGGATATATTTATAAAAAATATTGGCCCTTGTGTGAATATGTTAATCTGTAAGTAATATTAACTCTGCTCTAGAATAGCTAATGCAAAGAATGTATATAAATATTATGCAATTTGTATTAGTAAATAAAGTACTGTAATATTACTTTTTTGTTGTAAATATATCTAGTTTAACCAAATATTCTTTTCCACAGGATAACAAGCCAGAGGAATGTTCAGTGTGTTTTAACGATTATGATGACAATCAGCTACGGCCTCGCAATCTGCCGTGTGGCCACACATTCTGCTCCCAGTGTATTGACAATGCTATCAAGAATGGTCAGCTGTCCTGCCCCAGCTGCCGTGCCCAGCACACTGCCACAGCTGCCACTCAGTTCCCAATTAGCTATGCTGTGGAGGCTTTAGTTAGGAAACTCAAAAATATCCAGCTAACAAATGAGGAAGTAGTGCCAGCAAAACCTTATGAAGGGCCCTCCAGAGGCATCAGTAAGAAGTTACGTTCCATGGTGCAGGAGCAGAAGAGCAGCATCAGCAGCCTCATTACTAGCTGTGAAGAGGTACTGTCCCAGCTGGGGGAGTATCGGGGGCAGCTAGGGGACTGGAAGACTCACCACCTCCAGCTCCAGGACAGACTCTATGCTCTGGTAGAGCAGAACAAGTCAGCAATGAAGCTCTTGGAACTGGAGGATACCAGTGTGATGGATATGACAACACATGGAGAGGAAGGGAAAACTCAGCTGCAGGCCATGTTGGGAAGCCTCGACACAGTCAACACCCCACAGGAGGTTGACACAACCATAGACACAGCTGATGAGTGCAGCATAAAGGTAGAAGATTGGCTCCAGAAGTGCCAAACACTCTTCCCAGATGTCAAGACTGTCCACACCTCAGTGAAGATACGCTGCTGAAGGTCACATTGTTCTCACCCAACTGAGTGTAGTATTGCCTCTATATAAACACTTTTGACATGGAGACACATCATGATGAAAGTTGACTTTATATATAGGAAACTTTCTGAGGGAAACCTCGTTGGTTCCCTGGAGCTATCCAGGCTGATATGGATATATTAGCTTTCTTGAATCAGTCAATGTGCATGGAGTTCTTACCTACCGGGGACCACGAGCCAGAACCTGGCCCCCTTAGAGTGGCATGAGGAGCAATGACCTATAGAAACCCCCGTGTGGATGGGAGCATTCTGTCATTGACCAGGTTGGGCACTCAGAAAGGTAGGCGCCCCAAAACAAAGCCCTATTCTGGTGAAAATATTGCCATTAAAAGCTGAACGAGTGGACAGACAAAAATTTTCGTGCTCCCCAAACAAAAATTAGCAAATGAGCATGACGTCATCACATTGCCACGCCACCATCTGCCCAACCCCCCTTCCCCAGGAGGGGGAAGGGGGAGTCCCAAACCCTCACGTCGGCAATCCACCCTTCAGTTCTTGGCTGATGTGATAATGGCGAGGTCTTGTGTCTCTGGCTCCTGAATTTGTCTCAGTTTCTGTGCCTTGTAGCATGGTCTGTCTCTACAGGTGGTGTGTTAGCCGGGAGTAATATTCTTCAGTACTTGGGCTGCATGCGCCCAGGGTCGCCTTCCCTAGGTGCTCTGTAAGTACAGTACTGCCCTTGGGGCTTGGGTCCACCTTCCACATATCACCTTGAGATCTACCTCCGCTGTGTCTTTTACTGCTCGGTACTTGGCTGCCCTTGGAGTCATCTGGGGTTTTTGTTTCCCTTGTTTGCCTCTGGGTAGGAGGTAGTTTTCGTCACTGGTAGCGTAGGGTACTGCACAGCTAGTTATCATCTATTATAGGGGCTGGCTCTGCTCCGCCTGGGTACGTTGTCCTCTTGCAGGGTTTTTCTTTTGTTTTTGTTTTCCTGTCTGGTGGGGTGGGTCTGCCTTTGGTTGGTTGCCCTATCTATATTTGGGATATATATATATATATATATATATATATATATATATATATATATATATATATATATTAAATATGACCGAAAAAGTAAGATTAATAATTCTAACACGAATTTTCTCGATCTTTCATACATTTCTTTTCACTGTTGGTGGTAATTCAAAAATCAATTCTCCAAAATTCATTTTTATTTCTAGTCTGACGCGACACTTGAGTGCGTTTCGTAAAACTTATTACATTTTCAAAGACTTTAGTTTACACATACACAACTGAATAGAACTTACACATCTCCGATTTGTTTATATCTACATTTGAGTGAGGTGGATGGGGTGAGGTGGTATTAATAGGGTATTAATTTCATCAACACAAGACAGAACACGAAACAATGGGTATTGAATGGAAGTGATTGTAGAAAGCCTATTGGTCCATATTTCTTGATGCCTCTATATTGGAGCGGAGTCTTGAGGTGGGTAGAATATAGTTGTGCATTAATTGGCTGTTGATTGCTGGTGTTGACTTTTCAATGTGTAGTGCCTCGCAAACGTCAAGCCGTCTGCTATCGCTGTATCTATCGATGATTTCTTTGTTGTTTACTAGGATTTCTCTGGCGATAGTTTGGTTGTGGGAAGAGATTATATGTTCCTTAATGGAGCCCTGTTGCTTATGCAACATATCTGGCAAAAATGAACCTCATACTCTCTGACCAAACTAAATTCCAAAGGGTAATGAAGGACACTACTGCCGAATTGAAAGCAAAGGTCAACAAACTGATTGAAACTGTGAACGCCAAGAAATCCAGACTCCACCTGCCAAAGATTATTGGGGAATATAAACCTGGATATGCGTATGGAAATGTCAAGACACACAAGCCTGGTAGCCCACTTCGGCCAATCATTAGCCAGATACCCACACCCACGTACAGACTGGCGAAGCGACTCAACGGCCTGCTGACTCCTTATGTCCCTTGCGCCTTCAGCCTGAAGTCTCCAAAGGAATTTGTTGACTTACTGCGGGGCACACGGGCCACAGGGTTAAGAGCCTCGTTGGACGTAGAATCACTGTTCACTAACGTACCTGTGGACGAGACAATCGGGATGATAGCCGACAGAGTGTATCGTGATCCAGCCTGTACTCCTCTTGACATACCAGAAAATATCCTAAGGAAACTACTCCAAGCTTGTACTAAAGAGGCACCCTTCTTGAGCCCGGATGGGCACATGTATAAGCAAGTAGATGGGGTCGCCATGGGTTCTCCCCTAGGTGTCCTGTTTGCAAACTTCTACATGGGTACCATCGAGCAAAAAGTCTTAGTCGACATGAACTTGAAACCGGCCATATACTGCAGGTATGTTGACGACATTTTTACACAAGTACCTGTTGTCAGACATCTGCAGGAGCTGAAGGAGGCGTTTGAGCAGAGTTCCGTGCTGCGTGCACGATACACTCTGTTGGCTATCATCCTGATTGTCTCGTCCACAGGTACGTTAGTGAACAGTGATTCTACGTCCAACGAGGCTCTTATCCCTGTGGCCCGTGTGCCCCGCAGTAAGTCAACAAATTCCTTTGGAGACTTCAGGCTGAAGGCGCAAGGGACATAAGGAGTCAGCAGGCCGTTGAGTCGCTTCGCCAGTCTGTACGTGGGTGTGGGTATCTGGCTAATGATTGGCCGAAGTGGGCTACCAGGCTTGTGTGTCTTGACATTTCCATACGCATATCCAGGTTTATATTCCCCAATAATCTTTGGCAGGTGGAGTCCAGATTTCTTGGCGTTCACAGTTTCCATCAGTTTGTTGACCTTTGCTTTCAATTCGGCAGTAGTGTCCTTCATTACCCTTTGGAATTTAGTTTGGTCAGAGAGTATGAGGTTCATTTTTGCCAGATATGTTGCATAAGCAACAGGGCTCCATTAAGGAACATATAATCTCTTCCCACAACCAAACTATCGCCAGAGAAATCCTAGTAAACAACACAGAAATCATCGATAGATACAGCGATAGCAGGCGGCTTGACGTTTGCGAGGCACTACACATTAAAAAGTCAACACCAGCGATCAACAGCCAATTAATGCACAACTATTTTCTACCCACCTCAAGACTCCGCTCCAATATAGAAGCATCAAGAAATATGGACCAATAGGCTTTCTACAATCACTTCCATTCAATACCCATTGTTTTGTGTTCTGTCTTGTGTTGATGATATTAATACCCTATTAATACCACCTCACTCAAATGTAGATATAAACAAATCGGAGATATGTAAGTTCTATTCAGTTGTGTATGTGTAAACTAAAGTCTTTGAAAATGTAATAAGTTTTACGAAACGCGCTCAAGTGTCGCGTCAGACTAGAAATAAAAATGAATTTTGGAGAATTGATTTTTGAATTACCACCAACAGTGAAAAGCAATGTACGAAAGATAGAGAAAATTCGTGTTAGAATTATTAATCTTACTTTTTCGGTCATATTTAATAATATATATATATATATATATATATATATATATATATATATATATATATATATATATATATATATATATATATATATATATATATATATGTCGTACCTAGTAGCCAGAACGCACTTCTCAGCCTACTATGCAAGGCCCGATTTGCCTAATAGGCCAAGTTTTCATGAATTGTTTTTCGACTACCTAACCTAACTTTTTCGGCTACCTAACCTAACCTAACTTTTTTGGCTACCTAACCTAACCTATAAAGATAGGTTAGGTTAGGTTAGGTAGGGTTGGTTAGGTTCGGTCATATATCTACGTTAATTTTAACTCCAATAACAAAAAAATGACCTCATACATAATGAAATGGGTAGCTTTATCATTTCGTAAGAGAAAAATTAGAGAAAATTTTCCAGTTCACCCATGCTACTAATCATGATATGAGGGTGCAGACAGCAACTGCATTGCATGCTAGGTTTAGGTTGCTGCAATGCGATAGGTTAGTTGCTTCCCCGGATGCCCTGAGAGTGGCCCGTTTTGGTTTTAGTGACCCGGACTTGTGGGTGAGAGTCACTTCGACTTTGGTTCCGTCCGCCCCTCCTTGTCCTTCCCAGTTTTCACCTATAACAGTGGCTGGCTATTTTTCCTCTGGGTACGATGTCCTCTTGCAAGGTTTTTCTTTTGTTTTTCTTTTTGCCTGGTGGGGGTGGGGGTTTGCCTTGGTGTGCCTCCTCCTTTATATTAAGTTTTTTTTTGTTTGGTGTTACCCCCTGCTTTGCCCTCGTTAGTGGACACGTCCCGGGGGCTCAGCATTAGCAGTGCTGACTGGTAGCTTCGGCGCTGGTTAGCAGCACCCTGCCTGGGATTACCCTTAGCAGACCCAGTTTAGGGGCCCTGGGAAACCCCGCTGGGGCACTCGGGGTCCAATGGATGAGACCCCTGAGTCCGCACGCACTTTGTGAGAGTTTGAGGTTTATTCTGTCCCCTTGTCTCAGGGCGACGCTCATTATTTTTGCCTCCATCGTGTTGCCTGTTGGGTCGGTGACACATTTGACCCTGAGTCCTGTGAGCTTTGTTGCTTGTTTGTGACTCAGTTCACCCAATCTGATGATGACATTATTCGG